GATTGACCTCTTTAGCTCCCGACTGCAGTCTGTTATCTGCTCCATCCACTCGTCCAGGAACGGCGCATTGACAGGTTTGAAAAGGTCAGGAACACAAAAATCAGGACTGATGAGAATCCCGTTACCAAAAATTGCTGACCAAACCCCTTCGTCCCATATTGGCTTAGGCATCTGTATTGGCAGTGACATCAATGCTGTAGATACACATGCATCAAGATTAACGGATGTGAAATCATCCTGAGGCGCACGCACATCATCCACTTCAGCCAGTTCAGAGGGCTCATAGGGTTCAGACACACATTCTGAAAGAGCTGGTCCCAAACCCTTGTCAGAGCCACCATCTACTTCTGCAGTAAAATCAAAACGAGTTGAATTGTCAAAATTTGGAATGCCGTCAACGTTGTTCTGGACACTCTCAAAACACGAGTCACCTTCTGAGAAATTGCCAAATACAGCACCCTCTGAAAATTCTGGGCTCCTTGCCAGCGTGTCAGTCATTGCAGGGGTACTGACACTGTGCCCCAGGCCACTCAAAGAATATTCATCTGTATTCAAAATTGACAGACCCGATAGACCCCCTGTAGCGAACTGTCTGTCATGAACTGGAAAAGTATCTGCTGAAAAACCAGCTGCAGTGTTAGCGGGGTGTGGAGGTTCTTGGTGAAGCAACCGTTGGCTTGGAGTCACTGTGTCCATGAATGTGCAGTAACAGTTGGAGTTGCTGCTGGATGATCGTCAACTGCTGCTGCAAAGTAGCAAGACTGGATTGTATGGCCTGAACTTGTTGTTCTAATCGCCGTTGGCGAGCAACCACGTTGTGCAGGATGGCTTCGTGGGTGGTATCACTGGAGCTGTCGCTCATGTGAAAAGAAGCCAGGCCAAAAATAAAAATCCAGCTGCAAATCCAAATGAAAAACTGCAACAGTAATACACGGAAACAGCAGGTTGACACTGAGAACCCAAAATGATCGATGAGGAAACGGCGGTAGTCCCACGATGTGCAGGTGTGCCGCGGCGCATGAGCAACGCCCGGCCCCCCTGAACAAAAAACGATATGGGGCTATGCCGCTTAAAACCCGCTTGAAACCAAAATGCCACGATGGCATAAAGTTTGGTTCGTTAAAAAAAAAGAAACAAGACAAACGTTTGGTTTGCACGAACATTCGCGTATAGGTCCTACCAAAACAAAGAGCGCAACTAGTTTAGAAGTAAACATTTCCAGGTTACCCGGGGTCTTTGAACACCATGTGTTCAAAGACAGGAAAAACCTATGGGGAATAAGGGGTACATCCTTACCTCGTACCTTGGACGGAGGCGGAAAACTTACGCTCGGTCCGAGCAGTTGGACAGTTGGAATCCGTCCTCCGACAACAAGATCGAAAATCGCATGAGACCACCAGGAGTCTTCAACACTTGGCTCAGGTACGCGGAAAACTCAGTTTGCGTGTTTGGATCCTGCTATGGTACAGAGCATATCCAAGAAAGGCTCGATTGTCTCCAAGCCCTGAAGGAGGCCCATGAAGAAGACGAGCATGCCTTCCCAGCTGCCTACTGCATCGAGCTCTTTGAGGAACTTGTCGCGGCTTGGTGCGAAGAACTGCGAGAAAGCAGAAGGAACTCTGCTCTCTGCTGGGGACCGAAAATCCACGGCTTGAAGACCTGAAGCTGCTAGCTTTGGCGCCGGGAGCGGATGGGCAAGCAAACTTCCAGTTTCCAAGCATATGGGATCTGGGCGACCCGAACGGATATTACCAGACAGTTATGGTACCCAGGCAGCAAAGGCAAATGTCGAGGCTGCTCCACAAGCAGCTGCACGACCACAACCTCAAGCAGAAGTAGACAGCTGGTCCAGCTGAAGATGAAGAGCCAAGGACAGGGAAAGCCCCAAAGCTTAACCTGAAAGACAAAGAGGCCGATGGATATGCGGGCGGCAGCGTGAAATCAGCCTACCCAGCTGGAAAACGGCTTACACAAGGAGAAGCTTCACGGTCCGTGGAGCACGCACCTAAGGATCCCAAGACCAACAAACCTATCTGCAGCCAGCTCTCATCTGGGCCCTGAACCGCCTCTTGCAAGTCAGTCTCGAGATGGGTCAGAGGGATATCATAGTCTTCAGGTGCGACCCACTGGGTGTTCCCAACCTTGTCTTCTTCAGCTTTACCCTCAGCTTCCTTCCCAGCTTTGGCCTTTGGCTTGGGCTTGGCTTTCGCTTTCTTGCTAGGTTGGATCTTGTCGGCCTTATCCGCCGCTGCCTGGGTCCGCAGCTGAGCGACCCTTCCGTCGGCCTCTTTGGGGTCGTTTGAGTCCTCCTCTTCGAATGGCCTGCATGGCAACTGTGTAGTCAAGTTTGACCAATCCCGGCAAAGGCTCGTGCGCGTGCTGGCACTTGTCGCCTCTTGTGCATCCCATGTGTGTGGCCGCATCCCAGCGAATACCCTCACAACCCACTGAGCAAGAAGCCGCTCCGGCTTGGGATGACCAGAGCCAAGAGGAGCGGGAAAGGCTGAAACGATGGAAGTCGCTGGAGGAGAAAGGGGTTCTGGCGGCCTTGGATTCGCCCACGGATTATCTCAGGCCCCATGTGATTGCACGCATGATGGCAGCACAAGATGAAGGATATGAACTGGAGCTGAACCGGTGTCTCGAAGATGCGGCAGAACATGGACATCCCGCGCTCTCTAAGGAAGCCGGACGTCAACGTGAGCTCCTCAAGCACGAGCCGAAAGCGGGTCACCAAGCGGATGTCGAATTTACGCCCATCACATGGGACGAGGGTATTGGTCATGGCCTGTTGAACTTTCAAGGAAACTTGTCGCATATCGGCTCAGTCACGGTCCGTGACTACCAGGATCGCTTGAACGCAAAAGACAGCGAGGTCCCACTGCAAGACGGGCAGTTGGAAGAAGAGCGCCAATGCCTGCTTCTTCATGTGGGTGTCGGGTTAGCGTTGGCCGATGATCCTGTAGAACTACGAGAGGCCGTAGCCAGAGCCAACCAGTTGAGAAAACATCTCTGGGATGAAGCAGTGGAGGCTCACGCACACCTTGGCGATCCGCCAGCGTGGATACCTGAGGGCGAGCACTTCTTGCGTCAAAACGTCCATGATTGCCTCTTTCCTCACCACGAGAAAGACTACCGCGCCTTGCAAACCCTCACAATCCATGCTGCAAGGATACACGTTGGCGGTCCTCAGGATTTCCTATTTTGGTCGGTTGGAGGTCGACTTGCTCCATGGAGATGATGCTGGCAATGGGAAGCTAGTTTTCGTTACCATCCACCGGGGGCATATGCGCCTGCTTCTTCCACAACAGCCCCAGCAGCTGTTGGATCACCTGAGGACTGCAGACAAGGTCACCAGGGAACTTCAGGTTGAACATTGGAGGGTGATCTTGGACCAGAGCAAAGTGGAGGATCAGATGGTTCCAGCCAAGTCCCCCGCCTGCACAAGATGCCAGCAACAGCAGCAAAGGCCTTATCGTGTTGGTGAAGGATTCCCGTTGCCACCGGCTTCATTTGAGTCCTGCTTGCAGGATGATCCACGGGCTCTTCAAAACAGCGGTGTGCCTCTGCGAAAAAGGCTCGCCTTCGCCTATGGGCCAATTGGTCAAGAGGTGTACGCTGGATGGGCAGGATGGACCAAGGGGCTTCAGTACCAGGGGATCCGGTGCGGAGAACCCATTGAATACTATGAGGACCCGATCCAGCAAAAGGGCTTTAAGCCGCAGCATGATACCCGTGACCCGAAGGTCCGAGAACGATTGCTGGGATTAGCTGGTGCTCCACCAGGGCCCGATGTCCCCAACACTTGGCAGCTTGGAGTCGTTTGTACTTCCTTCTGCGACCACCAGCTGAAGAACGGTGGCAGCAGGACCTGGCAACGCCCACAAGGCGACGGCACTCGTCCCTCTGAAGTTCAAGGAAATGAAGACGCAGAGTTCGCAGCCGAACTTTGTACGGTTCTGGCGGACAACGGAAGAGTCTTCGCATTGGAGAGTAGCGCGCCGTCGGGCCGCTATCCCAAGATATGGGACCTGCCTTGTATGCAGAGGCTCCGCCGCCGCACCGGCGCAAAAATTGTCTCTATGGCCTATGGCTATGTGCGCTTGGGGTCTGGGACCGCCTGAGACTGAGGAGGGCCTGTTTCATCGCAAGCATTCTTGGTGGCTGGTCTCCCCAGAACTCTACCCATGGGCCTTGTTATTCCTTGGTAGGCAGTGCCCAGGAGTCGGCCCGACTCACCAGCACGCACCCTTGAAGGGACCCAGTCCAATTCTCAAGTACCTCTCACTCGACTGGCACAGCAATACGCACCAGCTTTGTGTGCAGCCTGGGGTCTGGTAGTCCGAGCAGCCTTTGAAGAATGGAGCTGGACAACATATCTGCAAGAGCACAGCGTGCTCAAAGCCCTAGAGAAATGTTGGACCGAACTGGACGCACCCCCTTGGCCGGCTGATCCAGCCAATACGTTGGAGCGAACCCTTGGCCAACATTTGGCACCGGTGGTTGCTGGCCAAGCGGATGGACCAGGCCTCCCACATGGCTACACCTGTTCAGGATGCGAACTCCAACAGATGGTCTACCCTTGTACGTTTTGTGGGGGGAGGGGTCTGTTTCCGATCCCGAAAAGCAAGCTGAGGGGCAGGGCACAAGGGCAGGCAGCGTCGACGACGCCAATGGCCAAAGCACTGCTGAGAAATACTTGGAGGTATGCCAGAGTGCTTACAGCAAGGAGGCAGTGAGAAAAGCCAGAGGCAGGAAATGCGTTGTTGAGGGCCGCCGGCTCGGTGCCAAGAGCAGCTGAATTAGTCAACAAAGCGAGGCTGAGGAAGTATGGGGAACACTTCCAGAAGGCAAAGGAAGGAGCATTGAAAGGGCTCAGCCCCCTACACGAGCAACACTTGAAAGACTGTGTGCTCAAGGGCGTGCCCAGCCGAGCTAAGAGTACCCCCAAGAGAGAGAAGGCCTGAAACCACGGCTCCGTCAGGGGGCACGAGGAAGAGATGCTGCAGAAGGCATGGAAAGACGCATCTTATGGGGCGGTACTTCTGTGTTCCACAGAGACCGAGGACCAAGAAGAAAATCGGCAAATCGACCAGATACTGACCGAGAGCAAGGTGGCCGAGAGCCCTCTCGGCCGAGTGCCCAAGCAAAACCCCGACAGAACCATCTCAGCGGAAGGTCGTCCCATCAACGATATGCGAGCCAGGAATGCTTCGGGCTCCAAATACGACCACCCACCCGCCGCTCAGCCTAGGCACAGAGCAGTGGTCAGGCAAAGCCTTTGGTGGAGGGTGCGACACCCGAAGGTTCCACAGAGGTGTGCGAAACGCGATGTGCCAAGGGCTTTCAAGTGGCACTTCCTCAAGCCGGGCGATGTCCCTGAATTCTGCACGAGGATTCTAGGTGTGCTGATCCTGAGTCTGGTGATGGTGTTCGGTTGGGTAGGAGCGCCAGGGGAGTTCGTGATATGGGCCACCGCAACCCAAAAGCACCACGGGTCGTTCCGACCATGCCATCCTCAATTCAACGATGTGGTGCCCTACACCAGCCGATGGCTGATGGATGACGGCGTGGTGGTAGAGCCACTAGTGGGGAATAGGATCCAGAGATCCCTGTCAGCAATGGATGCAGCTATGGTATCAGTCTGGGGCCCTGGAGCCATCAATCTCGACAAGCTCGCCGAAGAAGGCACCCCGGCAAAATCCCAGCTCCTGTGGGGCCTCCACCTAGACTTTGAAGAACAGGTTGTGGTCCTCCCGGAACCGAAGCGAATAAAGGCGAAGCATCTCCTAAGAGAGCCTCAGCTTCAAAGGGGGTGCCAACGAGTTCGTACCAAGCTGCTCCGAGAACTGGCAGGGACAGCGCAGTATTGGGCCGTCTCCGCTCCGGAGATTGCACCCTATCTACCAGTCTTTTACAGGCTCCTGCAGCAGGAAGTAGGCGATCATGAATGGGTGAAACCCAGGGGCTCCGAGAGTGAGCTAGAGGCTGCCTGGGCTGAGTTCTGGGATGCGCTCGATTGGGTTCGCCTCCAGATGGAAAAGCCTTGGGGAACCAGTTTCAGAGCAGCTTTCGGCAAGCTCCTGCCGTTAAGGGAAAGGCTCGCACTCCCTGGCATGGCCGCTTCGGCCCGATTCGTTGGAGGAGATGCCACGCTAACCAGGCTCGGAAGCACTGATTGGAAGGATAGATGCTACCACATGGCGGACAGCAGCAGATACGTCAGGGCCGTGAACGAAGTCGTAGGGGGCGGAGATCACTTGGAGATCATCGGAGTGATGGAGCTTCTGACGTTCATTGTCCTGGCAGCGGCGCGGAAGGAAACCTGGCAGGGGCAACTGATCCTTTATGTGACTGACAACATGAATGTCAAAGGAAGGTTACGTACCAGGCGCGCTTCAAACAGATACGTGAGGGCGCTCTTGCTGCTGCTCCAGCGGCTCGAAGCGGAGAATAGCTTCACTGTCGATGGAGCGTACGTCCGTACCTACCACAATACTCTCAACGACTGGCTGACAAGGGAGGATGAAGACAAGGTCCATGCGGAAATGGAAAGCAGTGGCTGGACCCGCCTCGAGCTCAATGAGGACTGGGAAGGACTCCTGCGAGAAGCCATGCGCCCCACGTTGAAGCTACCAGGGGAGAAGGGCCCGAGTGCAGCTTTAGCCATTCAGCTGGCCAACGAACAGCAAACCGTGCATGCCTTCCCCGCCAAGATCGAGCCAAAGCCATTCAAAGGGGGACTCCACCAAATCCGGCTAGGGTCGGAACTACTGACGTTCGAGCTGGGGTGGGCCAAGGGCGGAGGATCGATCGCAAGCCAGGCGCAAGCTGACTGGATCGTCTGTGTTCTCACTCAAGACCCAAAAGGGCGGGAGGCAGACATCCTTCTAAAAACCCTCGCCAGAACTGATTGGAGAGGACGACTTATCGTTGACCAGCCCAGGGAGCTCTCTGAAACCAGCCGAAATCGCCTGATGCAGCTTCAGGTTCAATGGGGTCAGGCACAAGTGGTCGACTATCAGGGCCAGAAGACTTTGGCTTTCTGGAGGAACGGCCGACGAAAAGGAGAGAGTTCAAGCATGGCGAGCTGCACAAGTCAACGAGTGTCAGATGTTACCTCTGCGATCCGCAGAGGAGTCAGGTAAGGGATTATGCCCGCCCGACTACCTTTTCACGAGAGAACCAAACCTCATCACCACCGGAGACAAGTGGCTTCCAAAACCAGTCGGCCACTTGGTTGACGTGCGCGCCGGCAGCAGGCACCTGGTCCATAGCACACGGGGCCCAGCTTGCGGACCTAGGCTCACAGGTGAGCGTCTCAAGATCCCAGGAGGCACCCTGTTGGAAGGTGGGACGGCCGGGTCTGGTCCGTCCTCTCCTCCCAGAAGAGGTGTGGGAAATGCAAGGGGGCCTCGCAGAGGATTGGCGTTCCGCCGACTCGAAGAGAAAGGATCGCATGATAGCAGCTGCAGTCCAAAGGAGCCGCCGAAAGCCCTAGCCCCCAAACCAGTTCCTCCAGTGCTGATGCAGAAGACACCAGCACCAAAGAAGCCCCCTCCGCCACTGCCAGCAGCCAACTATGCCATGCCGGCAAGAGCTATGGGACTCGGTTCAGGCGCAACAGCATCATCTTCTAAGGGCGCTCCGCCCACTGAGGTGAACCACTTTGGGTTTGACGAGTCTGAAGTCGACTATGGTGATGACGATGATCGAACCCCTGAGGAGAAGGCAGAAGATGAGGAGCTGCTCGAGAAGACCAAG